ATTCCTTGCAGATGACTTCCTCTAAATCCTCATAAAACGCATCAAGTTCCAAATCATCAGCTGCTGATGTTGGAGAATAGCAGATGATGATAACATTTTTCTGATGCAGAGAATGGATTCGAAGGACAGCCAGAAGGTGATATGATCTCATGCGAATCGACAAGATGGACAACAGATGGGGTACGATACGACGGTAAATCTAACGTCTTCAACGTATTATGATGGAAATTTTTTACCACGAATGATGAGTGTGCCATCACTCAGCTGCCTCATTTGTCTTTCTGGACTTTGTTTCCTGCAAGGCGAATACGTGGTAGTTGATGCGCCCCGCTGCTTCGAGAAGGGCGTGAAGATCGGCGTTGGTGGAGACTGTCCTGGCGCTGGGTGCAGAGCATGAGACAATCTCCATGGTGAGCCGTTGACGTGTCCTTTTGGTTCGAAATCCATGGCGTCCTGTGCAACCTGACACTGATCTTGATGGCATCCGACGCAGTAGATGTGATCCAGTGTGGAGGGCGTCTTTTTCTCTTACATGCTGTACAGTATACATTGGGAATTTGAGAAGAAATTTCGAATATTCGAATAATCGAGTAATTCAAAATAATATTTTTCGAATATTCGAATTTTCGAATAATTCGAAAATAATATTTTTCGAATATTCGAATGTTCGAATTATTCGAAAAAGATAAGTTTTGAATATTCGAATTTTCGAATAACTCGAAAAAACAAAGTTTTCGAATATTCGTATTATCGAGTTATTCGAAAATCAGAAATGTCGAATATTCGAATTTTCGATTCGAATGTTTTATTTGAATGGCCGAATATTTATTCGATTCGGTCCAATGTATACTGCAGATAGAACGAATTGGGTGCGCATCACCACTTCACATTCTTTTGCCATTGTTGTTCGAATATTCGAATATTCGAATAATCGAACAATTCGAAAACCGAGATTTTCGAATATTCGAATAATCGAATAATTCGAAAATGGATTTTTTTTCGAATTATTCGAAAATCAGAAATTTCGAATAATCGAATTTTCGAATTATTCGAATTCGAATGTTTTATTCGAATGGCCGAATATTTATTCGATTCGGTCCAATGTATACTGTACAGGCAATAAATAAAGGACATCTCCCAAAACTTTAGCAGTGTGCCTTGCCAGGGCCCTGCCAAGCTTTCACCACAGGCAGTCGCTGACCTTATGTGGATCAGGGAGCCACCTAGCGACTGAATCCGCCAGAGGGTGGTGCGTGGCATGGCCTACTCTTAGCTGGACATCCGAGAAACCGGAAACGTCGAACTCCTTCTCAGCTTGGGAGACCCTGCTGGAGGACAAACCCCCGCTGTACTTC